CTAAAAAATTAATTATCTTAAATATTTTGCGTACATTTATAAGGGTTTAGCATCACATATTAATGTTTGGAAGCTTATATTTTGCTAAAAATATTAATGATATAACTATCAATCATAGGGTAATGCTTCTCTCTTAGAGTTTAGCTTCTCTTAATTTGCTAAAAAAATAATTTTTCTAAATGTTTTGCGTATATTTGTGATTGTTTACTCTCACGTATAAATGTTTAGAACATTTTAATTTGCTAAAAATATATATGTGATCTATAAATGAAGAAAAAAAAGAAAGTCATTAGTATATAAAAAAGTATTTGATCATAACATTTTCTTATATTAATTGTTGTAGTACCCTACCATGATAGTTGCAGTAATTTTCACAAAAACCAAAATCGAATAAAAACTTTATTTATTTTTTCAATGTTATATTCGAACTAACTTTTTCAATAGTCGAACTGAATTGAACCGTAGTTTTATTAAGTGTGTGAGGGTTAGGGCTCCCCAAGGGTTAAAACTCTCTTTAAAGGGTTTAATTCCTGTTAATTTGCTAGAAAATTAAAAAAAAAAATTGTGTACATTTATGAGATTTTAGTCTCATGTACATATAAATGTTTATAATTTTTTAGTTTGCTAAAAATATAATAGTATAAATGCAAAAATATATAAGTTATTAATATAAAATGAGTATTTAATCATAATTTTTTTGGATAAATTTATTACCATTTTTTTCGTTCTACGTGAGTATTAACTCGAATGAAATTTTACAGACTTATTTTATCAAATATTAATGTCGATTTATTATTGGTTTTTCGTTCACAACTGTTTATATTAAATCTATCATCGTTTTCCAAACAATTAATGTCCCGCGCGGGTCCTATATATTGTATATTAAAATCCATTTACTCGAACAAGAACATAATATAACATCAAAATTTGAATTGTGACGAAGTATATGGATTGGCTTAAATATTAACGTCCCTATCCCACTAGGATAAAAGAAAAAACTAAAAAACATAAATCCACCCCTTCAAATCCATCCCTAAATGGTTGAACTAAAGCATAAACTTTAATCTTAGTCATTTCAGTCGTTGATCTCGGATAGGTGAAACTTTGATCCCAACAGGCATGATGAATGCATGATAGTACATTGTGTGGTAGTTTGATTGTAGATTTGTTAACGAAGAATGATCGTTGCAAGTTATTTGTGTGGCTGAGATATGCCGCGAGGGCATGGAAAGTTTTCTGATGTTCATGGACAAGAGATTATAGGAAATTGACTGATAAGGAATGGATGTTGAGAATAATTGGTTGAGCTGTATGTTGTGGATTGTCAGGTCTGTGTGCCCATCTTCAGTGCACTACTCGCTCTCTATTTTACTTGGTTACATGCATAAGAAAATAATTTTTTGTTCCCGTTCAAATTGGTTGGTGTGGCTTTATCTTGGATTGAGGTTTTTCAAAAACCACGTATGCCCATGGATTCAAAAAAAAAAATTGTATCTTAGAATTGTTTTATAAACCCCCACCACTTAAATAAAACCCCACCACTTGACTAAAAATAAAATCCATTTGACTAAACTAAGAGCTTACAGTATAAAAAAAACTAACTTGTTAATAATATTGAAACCGCTATTTTGTTTGCCCATAGTTTTACTGATATTATTAATTGAGACATTATTATCATACCGTACTCGATATAACCAATACAATTCGTTTCCTGTGGATTAAGATAAGAATTGACCTACTTAATAATTACTCTTACTTTTACAAATTGTGGTTTCTAAGCAAAACACATTTAGAGGTTAAAATATTAATGGGAAAGCATTTGAGGACATAGAAAACCAAGATGGCCAATTAATTAAAAAGAATAGAGTCGTATAAAAAGAGCCATTAAGCTCTTTACATTTAACTTCTCATCCTCTCTTCATATCATTTTCTCACTCTACATTGTCTTCATTTCTATACTTTACCTGTCATCCGCCTCGCCATAGACTTTTCGTTGCATTTTCAGGTACTGATTTTTTGCTATATTGATTAGGTTATACACTAATGCATCATATTGAGATAACACAAAGTTTATTGGGGAAATTGCAAAAATACCACCTTTTATGTGCATATTTGCAAAAATGCCAAGGGTGTTCATTTGCAAAAATACCACTAATTATAAATTTTTAAACCCTATATCTTAAAATTCTATACACTAAAAAATATTTTGACCCCTAAAACCCCATAAACCCTCATAACTAAATCCTAATAGAACATAATTAACTCAAATATAAATAATATAAAGAAAAAATAATTTTGAAAAAGTGGCATTTTTATAAAGATTTCAAAAGTGTGGTATTTTTGTAAAGTGGTATTTGAAAAATGGCATTTTTTGAAATTTCTCAAGTTTATTCAATAATTGATTTCATAAAAAATATTTTGCTAAGGTTTTGAACGGTAATGACATAAGAAACCATATAAAGGATGAAAATGAAAGAAAAATAATATGAAACCAGTTTTAGATTTTGATTTGGAGATAAGTATGTTAGTTGAATACAGTAAATAAAAAAATCATTACTAATGCAATTATGTTTTTTTTTGGTACAACATGTATGTCGTTTTCTTAAAAAGTAAAATCATTGGACTCTAAGAAATTAATAAATAAAAATATAGGATTACATTTTTCGTTGCACTATGTCATGTAACATCGCAGCCTAGATGTTAAACTACTAATAAACTTTTGTTTATTGTTGGTGGATTAAGGCGTTTTGTTTCGAAGGGAATATGCTTTGAAAGATTCTTTAGCTCACGACCTTCTTCTAGGGTGGAATTATTATCCGGGATCCGAATTCGATCCGCTATCCGTTCGGAATTGCTCCGAAAATTAGGATATCTGGAGAGTCCAGATCCGGATAAAGATAATAAAATCTAGGATCCGTAAAAAAAGGATCCGGATAGCAAAATTTTAAAGTCCGGATATCCGGATCCGGACGCGTTAAGTATGTTAAAAACGTATATATTATATATTAATTAAACTAAGTTTATATAAATAAAAATATATATAAATTAATTTTAGTTCTTTTTATAATAAATATATTTATAATGAAAAATATCATTTAAAATATTAATTAATAATTTTAAAAAATTTATTTTTATTTATTTATTAATTATTTTAATTATTTTTAATATTAATTTCGGATCCAAATCCGGATATCCGCAGATATCCTGTTGTTTGGTCAGATATCTAGAGCCTGGATATCCGGAGGTCACGGATCCGGATAGTTTTTCTACGGATCCGACGATTCCGGATCCGGATAAGGATAATAAAATCTAGGATCCGTGAAAAGAGGATCCGGACGCGTTAATATGTTAAAAACATATATATTATATATTTATTAAACTAATTTTATATAAATAAATATATATAAAATTAATTTTAGTTCTTTTTATAATAAATATATTTATAATGAAAAAATATCATTTAAAATATTAACTAATAATTTTTATAAATTTATTTATTAATTATTTTAATTACTTTAATATTAATTTCGGATCCGGATATCCGTGAATATCCTGATTTTTGGTCGAATATCTAGAGTTCGGAT